ACCAACATGTTTGAGATTGAATTGACCATTCAAGCCCAACGGAAAAATCGCAAAGAAGAGGAACCCAGACATAAAATCAGTAATCGGTGATAAGTTTCAAAGTGTTTTTCATTAAGGAGAAAACTGTTGGCTATCTGTTTCGTTCATTTAAGAAGAATATGTCGCATTTCAGCACCGGAATTTGGGAACAGTTTTCGTATACCCACATTTCAGTTTCTTATTCAATGTGACTTTTACAATTTCAACACCCAATTTATGTATGATTCGAGATTAAATACCAATCATGTTTCAGATTGAAGAATCAACGTGTTATGAATTGACTATATTCAGGCCCAACGGAAAAATCGCTTAGAAGAGGAACCCAGACATGAAATCAGCAACCGGTGATAAGTTGCCCATTCCTGTGTCGTATTCAATTCATATAGAATATTTTTTCAAAATCAATTATTTGTTATGGAAGGCGATGTATCATAGAAAATGTTTCAGTAGGCACCTTTATGTCTCCATGGAGACACGACAGGTACCCTTACGAGGGGAGAGTATCAACCCTTGGCGTCGGTAAACCCTCATTGCAACCGAGGTAGGCGCCTGGTGGGTTAGGTATATACAGTGTTTTTCATTAAGGAGAAAACTGTTGGCCATCTGTTGCGTTCATTCAAGGAGAATATGTCGCATTTCAGCACCGGAATTTGAAAGCAGTTTTCGTATACATTTCAGTTTCTTATTCCATGTAACTTCAAAATTTCGACCCCCAATTTATTTTTAAATCGAGATTCAATGCCAACTATGTTTTAGGTTGAAGAATCAACGTGTTATGAATTGATACCATTCAAGCCCAACGGAAAAATCGCACAGAAGAGGAATCCAGACATAAAATCAGCAACCGGTGATGAGTTTCCCATTCCTGTGTCGTATTCAATTCATATAGAATATTTTTCGAAATTAATTATTTTTTATGGAAGGTGATATATCATAGAAAATGTAACATCATCTTCTGTAGTCCCTCTCAGGGGGAAAAAGCTCCATTTCTCGACTCATGTTCCTATTCGCGAGATTCACGAAGTGCACGACATCTAGGTTACATAATACGAACTTCAAACTGGGGGAAAACAAACTGTTGACTATGGATAAAGTGCATAGACTACATTGCATTCAGCTTGCTGTAGCTGTAGTCAAACTTGTCAATGACATAAAGTGTTGGCACTGTTGGTAGTGATGATGGTTGCGAGTTGGTTGATTTTTTCACAATTTTACTTCATGTGGGGAAGATTTCATCGCCGAAGTTTGTTGACAAAGCGCAAAAATGAGCCTTTTGTTGAAGTCTTCTGCCTCACACAGAATCACATCATTAGCACTCCTCTGCTTCTGCTTTCACTACTGGTCGGCTTTTTTCAACTAAATATAAGGCAAAATATCTGCCAAAAGAACATCTACAGCAGGCATTATTAGCGTTTTCGATCGAATATTGACAATTAATGTCAATAAATTTAAAAACTTATCACTCTAATCAGTACGCAGTACACAAGATAGTGGCACTAATGGGATTGAGTGAGGATGGAGTTTGTTTTTCTCCAGTTTTGACGTGGCTTTGACATGGAACGATGAAAACCGAGCGCCACCTGGTAACATTGATTCCCGTGAATAAACTTTTCATCCTATTTTTGGTGAAAGTTAACACTTCGAAATTCTACGACTTTTCAAGTGGATAAAAAGAACTCTAGAAGAATCCCAATCCCGTTCAATCCCAAGTATACGAAGGGACTTGATAAGGTTTTCAAAGACTTAGGTTTTGAAAGCGTTTATCAGTCTGGGTCAAAATTAGGCAATTTATTAGGCAATCCGAAAGATAAAGTGGACGCACTTGAAAAGTCGGGAATATACGAAATAAGTTGTAATGATTGTGATAAAACATATATAGGCCAAACCAGGCGACCCATAAAAACAAGGTTCAAAGAGCACATAGCCCATTTAAAATATGGCAGGTTAGATAAATCTTGTGTAGCCGAACATATGTTCAATCACAATCATAACACACATATTACTAACCTCAAATTAGTTAAGCAAGTTAATAACATTAGAAAACTAGACGCATATATGAAAGCTTAGAGATATTTAAGAATAGTAATAGAGTAATGAATAAGGATAATGGACCTATTCCATATAGCCCTCTATATAGTTTAGTAAAATAAAAATTTAGATTAACATGTGAACTCAACCATGACAAACATTAACTTGACGGTTAGTATTTTTCACGGTTGGGTGAACATGTACCTAGTATATAAGCAGCACACTAGAATACGATATTTAGTTTTAATCTTCTCCTGAAGATGCTAACATAGTTAGCGAAACACGTGTCGATGCGTTAAAAAATCGGTTTGGTTAGTGGTAAAACAGTGTAGTGCGTTACAATGTTGTTTATTCTTGATGACGTCCAGTACATCCTTTTTAGTTCCTAGGAGCTAAAGTTCAACTTTAGCTCCTAGGAACTAAAATTCAACTTTAGCTCCTAGGAACTAAATAAATGTTGCCTAGCAACATACCTATTTTTGTGTCAGTAATAGAAATGTCAATTTAAGAGCTAATTTTGGTATCAAAATGGACGACTTTTGTGTCGGTTGCAGAAAAAAGATAATAGTAGGGATATTCTTTTGATATTAATTTTGTTGAATATGTAAATAAGAAACGGAAATATTTCTCAAGATTTATTAAAGAGTAAAATATAACAAGATGTACCCTAGAAGCAAAAAGCCCTCAATTCTGATAAAATAACAATTTATTGTAACAATCCAAAGAGTTACAATACTTTATAAATATAAGATTAAAATATACATGAACTGTTAATCTCTAAATATAATAGAAAAACAATCAAGTTAATACATAGTGAAGCTTTGATAAACACATTTATTAAAAGCACCAGAAAATTATAATGTTTGTTCAACATTTTAAACTTACAACTAAAAAATCTATTCTACAAAATAGCACCAAATTTGCTCCATACTTTCAGCTGTATGCATCTCCATTGTCTAACATCCTCATAAAATTCCATAAATAAAAGTTATACTATTAGTTTACATCAATATAAATTCATTCACAATGAACAATCAATAACGCTTATAACAAACTAGTAAGGCATCCTTTTTCTCTTATGATAAGTTTTAGAATATGGCTATGTCATATATTGCTCTAGAAATTATTCTAATATTAAAAGAAAGCTGTAGCAAAACTATATTAATCCAGGATAAATGAGCTCTCTAAAATTCAACAATCAAAAATAACTGTTCCGCATATAATAATTTAACTAAAACTTCAAGAATTTCATATAATAATAACCCTGATACATCAAAATATAAATAATATTAAATAGTGTGTAATAATATTCAGATCTTCATGTGTCTTGTATTTTTTTTTGTTTTTTTAACTTGTTTTTTATAATGTGTGTGTTCGTTGTGCGTGTGTGTTCAGGATGTAAACAGGCACTGTGAATACAGGGTGATTACTATAGACTTCACAATGTCACACTAGATATTTGCAAAACGAATGAAAAAATTCAAAACCTTGAAGCCAAGAAACCTTCAATATCTTCATTACTTTCCAGAATATCAAGTGCTGAGATCGTCAAATCCATATAGTCAATCAACCTGTATATTGTTCAAGAAGTGATAGTTTTTTCAAACGTTCACAGTAGTGGCGCCAAAATCCTGTTCCATCCAGTATAAAATGTAAATAGAATGTAGAATAGGTGCTAAATGTAATTTAAAAAAATATTGGTATTCTCCTTTATGGTCTCATAAACCATCTAATCTTTTTGGACCTGATATATTTTCCGATATTCGTGAAGGTCATACAATTTAGGGAGTTCTTCGTGGTTATTGTGTTTGGACATTTAGCCCCTTCGCATTTCAAGTTTGCGATAGATTTAAGAATAGCAACCCAGTCAATTCATGTTGAAGAAAAACTAATACAGGAACTAAATTTCACGGAGAAAATACGGAAATGCAGCTGGGTCACCATCTCAAAATCCGAAGTTAATGAGAAAAAAAAATCTAAACAAAGTAAATTTGACATCAAGGCCTGCTGTGTCACTGAAGATCAACGAAATGAATTCATTTACTAATAGAAAAATATGGCATGGAGATAGTTCGAATGGACTGTCTTCTTATTATAATGCAGAACTTGATGACAAATGAGTGATTCCAAGTGCTCTTTTTATTGTGACGAAAAATTTGTTCATCGGGCATAATTACGTTAGTTTATCTTCAAGAGGTAAGAAACACGTTACAACTTTTCAACGTTCGTGTAACATTCGATGAAGTGAATAATGAAAGTAGATGCGGCTACCAAGATTTGATAGCTAGCAATAGAACGTTTTTCCAACGTATTTTCAATGTCACTGCAACGTTATTTCTCCGTTTTATCAATGTTACTTCAACGTTTTTCGTCCGTTTTCCTACATTTTTTAAACCTTTGTGCCCACCAACTTCTGTTTGGTGCATTAGGGACAGATGATATCATCTTGATCTAAAGGAAGTAAATTTGTCATCAAGATCTGCTGTGTCCCTGAAGATCAACGAAATGAATTCATTTACTGATAGGAAAATATGGCATGAGATAGTTTAAATGAACGGTCGTCTTATAATGCAGAACTTGATGTCAGATGAGTGATTTCAAGTGTTCATTTTATTGTGACGAAAAAGTTGTTCATCAGGAACAATTACGTTCTTTTTATGTTGATGAAGAGGTAATGAATACGTTACATCTTTTCAACGTTTATGAAACATTTGCTAAGTGAATGATAAAATCAGATGCAGATACCTAGATTTGATTGCTAGTAATACAACGTATTTTCAATGTAATTTCAACGTTTTTGCAATGCTACTTCAACGTTTTTTCAATGTTCTTTCTACATGTTTTCAACGTTTTCTCAACGTTATTCATTGTTTGTGCCCACCTTAATAAAAATCGTCACAATAAGAGGAACCGTAATGTCGTCTTGGCCTGTTTTACATCAACTTCTGTTTGGCGCATTCGGGACAGATGATGTCATCTTGATCAGTGATGAATCCTCTACCGACTAGGCTGGTGCGGCAATTGGCGCAGAAGAAGCAATCGTTGTGCCAGTGCCTGTTGGACGAAATTCAAAATATTGTACAGGGTGAGCGAGACTCGAGAGTAGTTCATAAAATGACGAAAACTACCTTCGTATAAATAACACATCAATGCAGTTATCAACAAAAAACCGAAAGCAGGCGCAGGCAAGTAATATTTTTTGAAAATTATTATTTTCTGTTAATATTTCTCAATTTCAGTTGAAAAATGTCAAGCGACAGATATCCTGAAAAGAGCAAAAATGGCAACAAATGAATTGCTACCCGTGAGGTCTCGTGAAGATACGAAATCGCTTACAAAAAATTACTCATGAATATCATGTCATTTTCGGAAAATATTCTGTTACTTCCAAGGACTGCACAGTCATTATAAATACCCATTATAATAATTTATCGATATTGAGGAAAATGGTTCGTTATGCAATTTACCAATAAACAAATACAAGAATTATTTTAATTTGCACTTTTTCCTGCAGTTAGCTTTAAGTGATGAGAGACTCATTCGATATTTGTGTCCTAACACAATATCTGTCCTATCCTGAGGGAATTATCGTGAAGTCGTAGAAAAAGTATAGTACATTTCTCGAGTTGTGAATCAATTACGTTCCCTCCACTTCTGCGTTATATGCGTTTCACAACTCTTTTTATTGAATATATTATTTTCCACTACTAACACTGAAATATCAACATATTTCATTTATTCACACTTCCATTTCCATTGGAGGAGCAATGCCCTTCACCGTGTTTATCAACATTGTTCAACATGTTACTGAAATTTCGATATCTAATAACGAAACGATATATGTCCCAAAGGAAAGTCAAAACATTGTAGTTCATCGAACTGCACCTCTGCGCTTTCTTGTGCGGAAATTTGCACTCGTTTCGCGATTTGATAACGAGATACAAAATATGCCATCCCATACCAATTGAATGACAGATCTCAAATACCTAGCTGTGCCACCTCTAAGTCTGAGCCTAATCCACGGCACAGCGATTTATTTGCTCCTACTATTCCCGACATACTTCCGTCATGTGCTAACGAGTTGAAACAAAAATCAAATTTATAAGTTTATTCCACCTCATATAGTTAGATTCTAGCTCTCGATCTTTCTTTTTAGTATAATGAATGAATATACTGCCCAATGTTGACTTTTCAGGTTGATACAGTCTCGGATAACAATATTGTGAAAACAAAGAGAGCCCTCACCTGTCCTCGAAAGAGATGAACTTGGTGCCGCCGATGCCCGTGATGGGCCTCGAGCAGGCCGTGCACCGCTTGGCGAACAGCTCGCCGAAGCATTCGGCGCAGTACGGCCGCTCGTCTCTACTCGTGAACCGCTCGCCCGCCAGGCTCTTCTCGCAGTGCGTGCACGTGAAGCACTCGCGATGCCACGGCTCGTTCTTGTAGGTCACGCCGCCGCTGGTGATCACCTAAAAACGGAAGATAAGGGTTTTCAGAAAGTAATAAAGCAGGCCTTGCACCGCTTGGCGAACAGATCGAAGCACCGGGCGCAGTACGACCGCTCGTTGCGGCTTGTGAACCGCTCGTCGCGGCTTGTGAACCGCTCGTCGCAGCTCATGAACCGCTCGTCGCGGCTCGTGAACCGTTCGTCGCGGCTCGTGAACCGTTCGCCCCCAGGCACTTTTCGCAATGCGTGCACACGTGAAACACTCGCGATGCCACGGCTCGTTCTTGTAGGTCACATCGCCGCTGGTGATGATGAAAAATATCAACTTTACGTTTCGAATGTTGAGCTGTTTATTCACTTTATTATCAGATTCTCAATATTTTCAGACAATTCCTCACAATTACAAAATTTCAATCGTCTTTGTACAAAATTGTTTTTTAACTTACTTTACCACTGAGTAACTGAATGTACCTATACAAAATATACCTAGAAAATATAAGAATTATAGAAAAAATCTGTGCCAAAACAGGAAAAACAAATCAATCATTTACAATATACACCTAGCGATTTGAAAACTCTTTAGTCCGGAGGTGTATAAACTATTTTATGCACTAGCGGGCGGTAAAGGCCACTTTATCGCCCAAATTTGTGGGCGTAAAGTGGTACTTTACCTTCGCCCGCGAGCCCATTATCGCCCACGGGCCATAAAGTGCACTTTAACGCCCGCTGTTCTCAAGTCCCTTATATCCACACATCCATTTGTGAAATACCTATATTTGAACTCTCAGCTGATTCTATCGTTATGATTATGCGTGATTATGATACATGTTATTGTTCATCCGATTCCATCTTCGCTATAACTTCCTTCTTTGAATAGTGGCTCTCTGGCTGTCTGAAGTTTTTTGCCCAAAAGATGACAATTTCAGCTTGTTTTTTGGATGTATTGCTAGACAGCAACCATCAGATTGATTGACAACGTCAAATTTAGGTAGCTATATACTGGGTATACATATTGTTACATCTCAATAAATGCATCTCTGTTAGTGAACAAAGAGTTTTACTCGTACGACAATTGCGATATTCGTACGGTATTTTTAATATGTAGGTTATACACAAAAACATTGCGCTTCTCTTGAAAACTGAATTTATGAGTGACATATGAATTGTAGTTTGTTGAAATGACTTGTGACTCGGGAAATAAACCAATAGTGCATAACATTTCCCTAACAACACGGGATCTTGCTGGTACATCCCGCTAAGGTCCTACAAATGTCCCAATGTTTCAGACTTAGGTACGATATCCCAGAGATGTTTATCTTGAGACATCCATCAGATGTTTTCATTGGATGTTCTAGAAACATCCCATCTGATTTTTTTTTATTAACAATATCATGGTTCCATATTCGCTAATGATGATTGACATGATTGAATAGTTCAAACAATTGTGTCATTTGAAACATTGAAGAGTTGGTAAAAAATGGAAATCAAAACTGTATTCGTACTCATATACTTATACCTATACCAATGCCGGCTAATTCCATTGATAACAAATTGAAATAATCATACTAAATATTCCTCAATAGGATTACCAAAGTACCTGCTTAACTTCCTGAATTATGTAATAAACGACAAAATTGAAATATATCTCTCCAGCATATTTATTGCTGAATTTATTTGTTATACCAGCCGATAGATGGCGGTACAACTATGTTGCTAAGAGTTACTAACAGCCGTCGGCCCAGCGCAAACAAATATGAGCCTCAAAAAACTGTTATCATCTTCCATTAGTTATTGGAACGCACCGACCTTATATTTTGATTCGGAATTCGGATTGTTACTTTATATCTGGAAGTAGGTCGTCTCATTTCCAGGATTTCAGATTGGAAATAATTCATACCGTGTCATCCATTACTGTCATCAAACAAAAAACATTGTAGAAGTTTCTTTAAGATGTCCCATATCAAGTACCCTGAATGTCTCTGATACATCCCCCCGTATCATCCCACAAACATTCTGATGGGATGTTTATAAGACATCGCAAATGCTGACAAGGGTGTTGCCAGCAACATCCCAAGAATGTCCCAAGGAAAATAGGGATTTTCCAGAGATGTTCCTATCCTTCCATATGGATGTTTCTACGACGTCTTACAGATGTTATTGTGTTATTAGAGTTTGTATGTATCACGTGCGTAAAATGCGTAAATAGCCTGCGGCGTGAATAATGGCCCGATGGCGTTAGCCGAGGGCCATTTACACCTCTGATACATAAATAACTATTTCGGCTGAGTGACTGTCAAAAATTATGACTGACTCCTAAGTACTGTTTCAGACTCTCTCCGTCTGCTGACAATCGAGACTCAACTGAACTAAACGCTTCACCGCTGTCACCCACACCAAAAACATCGGATAAAACATGATATAGCTAGAATCTAGTCAATAGTCAAGTCATTAGTTCTTACCTTGTTACACTTGATACACCTGGTGGCGAATTTTTCTTCGTAGCACTTGGCGCAAAAGATTTCTTGTTCGCGAGGAATGAAACTCTGCGTTCCTATCGGAGTCTTGCACATGCAACAGCAGAAGCATTTCTCGTGCCATTGTCTGGTCTTGTATTCCATTTTCTTCGTACCTGAAACCAACACGATGTGTCAAATAAAAGTGTATCTTAATTGGTCTATTTTGGACCGCCCCGTATTTCTAACGCCTATTGGGATTTCCAGCTGATGCCCCACTTACTGTTTCTGCTTGCTAAGTGTCATCAGTTGCACTGAGTTGGCGGATAATTCATTCAAAAAGGGTGCACCATTCCGAATTTGAATCTTTTCGAACTGCAGAGGCAGCTAAAATGATGCAAAAATGATCATAACAAAACTTATACAGGGTGTGAAGTGGAACTATTACATATTTGCGATTACGTATGCACAAAATTTTTTTTTCCTCATAACAAGTCAGCCTGATAAAGAAACATTACGACTTTTCCCGGAATATTTTTGGGATTCCTAGTACCACGCATTTCTTAAAAAATTATTTCTCTAGAAAATCATCAACTTTAATTATTGAGAAGAATTGTTGTTCACATATTCAAAGATCAATAAGAGACGAATAAATCACCATAGCAGCATATAGGGTTATGCAAAGATATGAAAACAGGTGAATATCTCGATAATCGTTCGTTAGATTTTTTGGAATTATTGTACAGGGTGATTTCAAAATGTGGCGGATTTGAAAATGTTATCGTCAATGTTGAAACAATTTCAGTTATCCCGGAATCATAATTAGCTTCCTTATTTTGAATAGAACACCCAGTATTCAATTGAATTTGCCGATTCTCCCTAAGAAGCTGATTTCATCGATCCATCATACTTTGGGTCTAGCGGGAATGATTACAGAGATATAGGGTGTTCAAAATCGAGATTTTTCAACTTTAGAATTTTTCTCTAAACTAGTCATTATCGGTCGAAATAGTTCAAATGTTCCTATCTCAACTTTTGATTTACTATCTACTGACATTTAATTGGAACAGATACAGGATACGAGGGGTGATCATAATGGGCGTGTACACGTTAGTAGAACTTTCAACTCAAACCATATTTATAATGATCCTTTTATACATAAATAATGATTGACGATATAATTCGATCGAAAAATTAACTGGAATGTTTTATTTTTGGACATGAATAATAGTACCTTCTGGAAACGGACCCTCTTATGACGTAGAAACCTCATCTCGCCATAGTTAAAAGAAAATACCAAACGCCCGACGGAGACTGAGGCAACTGATATATTAATTCTTTCACCTGTGATCTCGCGCTAATTCACTCTGTCAGAAATCATGTATCATTCATCTCTGCCTGGAATAGTCTTGTTTCAGTATTAGGGTTTTGACGTCATATCATCGCCTCGTTTCCAGAGGTCCGAAAAATCGGGGATTTCAATAATTTTTTATAAAACGTAGGGAGCTCACAGCAAGAAACGGTTTGTGGTGGTGAGCTAGTTTGGGTGAGTTCTATCGAATTATGAAATAAAATTTTTTTGTGATATGAGCCCATTCTGAATTTTGTACCACCCTGTATTTTTCTCATACAACTAACCGTTCGCCAGAAAATCGTAATCAACGAAAGGGGAAGTTACGATATCGTTTTCGAAAGCAAAGGGTTAAACGATTGCATACGGTGGTGATCGCATGTTCGTTTTCATGATCACAATTTTTTTACCCAACTTACACTGGCTTCTAGTTTTCAAAAATCTAATAAAAAACAACTATTTTCCAGGTGATGGTTACATTCAAAACCCTACGAGAATGTAAGTTTCGGTTTGTTAATTTTTGAGGTTTGAATTGTCGAAAGACACGAGTCGAGAGATTAATTTGTTTGTTTGTTGATTTTTTTTTAATTTTTTGGTTGTATTAAGAAACACTCTATGTGTACGAGATTGTGAAGAACTAGCAGAAAATCGGTATACACACCGTGTCCCAGCTGAAATGTCCCCCCCCTGTAAAAAATCAACCGCGCAATCGAATGACTTGAAATTTGGTCACCCAGTATATTTGATGATGCTCACTCGAAATATGCTACTGAATAAATCCTAGGTATACAGGGTCACACCGAAGTGCACCTCAACTTCCTTATTTGAATAGGGAAACCCAGTATATTATTCCATATTCAAGTAGAGATCATTATTACTAATTCAACAATGCCGGGTTAGATTTTAATAATATAACACGATTGAAATGGAATGATGGGTGTTCTGCACATAACTACGTATCCGTAAAAGATTATCTTCGCCATCGGTTTGGAGACAATCTAATAACCACCAATTGTCTCGATGGTGATAGCAACTGGCCAGCTCGACCGCCAGACCTTGCCCCACTTGATTTTTATTTGTGGGGCTACTTGAAACAACAGGTTTATGAGTCGCCAATTGTGAATATGGAAGAAATGAAAGAGAAAATCACAAATTTATGCGCACAAATTGATCGCAACGTACATAGGGTCACAATGAACGTTATCAAAAGAGCTGGGAAATGTTTACAGCAGAATGGACGACATATTGAGCAGTTGAGGTTTTGTTTTTTTTTATTCGATTTCAATTGTGTTATATTAATAAAAATTAATCATATAATTTTTTTATTGAATCGTTTCATTTCTTGTCATATCTTCGTAGTCGTTTGAAAAAATCCCATCAAATCCGGCATTGTTGAATTTGTAATAATGAACTCTTCTTGAATATGGAATAATATACTGGGTGTCCCTATTCGAATAGGAAAGTTTAGGTGCACTTCGGTATTACCCTGTATACCTACGATTTATTCAATTGCATATTTCGAGTGAGCATCATCAAATATACTGGGTGACCGAATTTCAAGTCATTCGATCGCGACACTTTAGCTGGGACACGGTGTATATATTCTGATGACCACTTTCATCCAAGAATTCCCTCGTATCATATTGTGGTTTATCAATAAACAATAAATTTACTGAACTAACGCATAAATCACATGATTATATGTTACGATTTGTATCAACATAATTATTTCAGATTAATTATGATAATTATTATGATAATCTTGGACAATAAAGTATACAAGATTGAACAATCGATAAAAATGCAGTGTCTACGACATTGACCTCCTTCTTTCCAATTGAAAAGCCCACATTTTATGACAAATTTAGGTAATTACTAATTGGCCGTATTTAACCTACACACCGAGTTATAATTTATTCCAACCAACAGCTATTTTTCGCAATATATACAGGGTGATCAACTCGGTATTTTTTGAGCGAAATAAAAATCCAAATTGCCAGAATGACATGAAAACCTACAAAAAAGAACCTCAATTCTGCGATCAAAATTTGTATACAAGGTGTGGTAAAAAAATGCCACACAAAAATTTGTTATTTTCATCTGATTAATAGTATATTACGTAATATGTGTTGTAATAAGCATATTACGCATGAATGGAAAAGTTACGAACGCAGCCGAGGAGCGTATCTTGCTTAGTTTTAAAATTTTAAATCTGATGCACCGTGTTTATTTATATCGATCGGATTTTCAGATACTAAAATAATTTTATTCAATTCAAAAATATAGCAAGAAATAGTATTTCTTGATTGGTTAGAGAAATAATGTATTAAATCTTATGAAAATATGGGGGAGATCTAACCGATAAAAAAATATTATGTAAAAACCGAAGCTATTGACAAGATAAAAGACACAGTGATATTATTTCAAAATTTGATTATTTTCTTCAACTTTTTCAACATACCTCGTATGATAATTTTGATTACAAAATTTCTTATTGTGAATTATTGATTCCTTTCAATAAGACATATTTTTTCTATGATTAGGTTGATGTTGAAAAAAAAACCGTTAGTGGTGTATTTCAAAACATCGAATTTTCTTTCTCATATTTTCACAATCGGCGTTTTTTAAAAAGATATAGTCAGGTCGAGAGCCAGTTCGCATGAACCATTGTGATATTTTTGGAGAATTTATCGCAAATTTTGTTTTTCACCCTGTCTACTTAACTACATTTACCTGTATGAATGAAAAATAATAAACTAATGAGAATATAATTTCGTCTCTCTGTTTTATACAAGAATGATGTATTATTTATGTGAAAGAAACACTGTAATGCTCGTCATAATAATAATAATTCATTTGCAACAGGATCAATGAAAATAATGATAAACTAAGCAGTGAGAATGTGCAGAAACGTAGAAATGATTCTTCATAAACATATAAAATCAATATAAATAAAAATGATTCATCCATGAAATCATCACGGAAAATTTATTATCTCTAATAAGACATTATCAAAAGTCAATAACTCTTGTATCATGAACTTTTCATTGAGAAAAAAAAACTTTATCTGAAAATGTTTATACATCGAATAGAATAACGTTATCCAATAAGTCCTACTATTTCTATCGGTATCAATTGAAGTTTTAACAGAGCAAAATCACAGATTCTTATGTCTGAGTTGCAGCAGTGATTGAAAAATGTCTGTATTGAGTTACATAACACTATGGGCCAGATTATTTTGTTGAGTAAAAAAAACTGAACATCTGCCACTAACTCCAAACATTTGCTACTATAAATATCCCATTACGCACCATAACAGATTAAACCAAAAATGCATCATACGATAACAAAATTTCATTCCAATCTTTGATTATATCACATTGGAATATTGAATTGATAGGAAAATACATAAACTACTCCCCAGATGAAGTGGGACAGCCAAAAAATTGACTAATTTTGATAAGCTACAACTCGAACATTTCTTGGCCGATGTTGGATTTTTAACCAAAGGTAGGAAGCGTCATCCTTGGGATATGCGTCATTGGCGCCGGGTTTTTATTTTTGCGATTCGTTCTCTTTGTACAGAGTGTTAATTAAGAGCCGGAAAAATTTCAAATTTTTGACCAATAATATGGAAAATGTGAGGGACCCTAGAATTATTTTTCAGATGTTGGGTGAATGGTTTTTTGCATTTTTTTCTAACAAAATTATCAAATTGTACGGCTCGAGAAACATCAGAAGCCAGAGTAACGTTTCTGAATTTTCATTCATAAATAATGATACAAGAAAATTTTCACTAGGCGAACAAAGAACAACACTTGATAAAATTATTAAAAATGTTTCCATATCAAACTTTTTGAATCGCCTTGAATGATAGATAGAACAATAATAATGAGTCTGAAATTTTAATTTGTCCACTGTTGATTTTTTCAAAGAAAACAAATTTTTCGTTTCTAAATATCATAAACCCCTTTTGCACGCCACTGGTGTTATTTATCTTCAGTAGAAATATCCCTTGCTGCAGTTCAGATGTTGGCTGTTCTTGTTTAACTAAAAGATGCCACATTTTGAAATAAAAATAGAATTTCATAAAATGGCGATTTTTTCATAGCAACGCAATTTATCAGAAAAATTTCAAAGACGACTCGAGGTATCGGACCAACCATTCACCCAACATCTGAAAAAGAATTCTAGGGTCCCTCACATTTCCCATATTATTGGTCAAAAATTTGAAATTTTTCCGGCTCTCAATTCACACTCTGTACAAAGAGAACGAATCGCAAAAATGCAAATCCGACGCCAATAACACATAGCCCAAGGATAACGCTTCCTACCTTTGGTTGAAAATCCAACATCGGCCAAGAAATGTTCGAGTTATAGCTTATTAAAATTAGTCAATTTTTTGGCTATCCCACTTCATCTGGGAAGTAGTTTAGTTCAGAAACAACAATCTGCACTGAACTATTGAGGTAACTCCACCAAAAGTAAAGCTGACGGCCAATTCAGATTCAGAGATCATTCTTCAATTTTTATGGCTTATATTCAGGTCAGTTCCATTTCTCTGATCTTTTTTCACTGACTCAAGAAGTAGGCATCAAGAGCCCAAACTCTCTAATTATTCAACAAATAGTATAAATATATTTAGACAAGTGTTCAACACTTATAGTTTATGTGTATCAAATAACCCGAAGCAACTATTACTTCATCAAATATACTTATGTAGATACTTAACATGACAAAAATGGATGTAAAAGCGAATTTAAAACGCAATTAACAAATGTTTGCTGCATTTACATAAGAACGAATAGAATAATTTGTCTTGAACAAGAACGTATATTTATTTATTTATTCAGGGATTATTTGAAGTGAAACACAAAGTGAAAATCGAGGTAAAAACTATGGAATAATTCCGAATCCTCCGTTACTATACGAGGGTACACAACAGGACGATATTGCTTCTGAATACACAGTCATTGACCCATACTAGAAATATTCAGATAATGCACCCAGTTCATTCTATATTGGTTTGTATATTGGTCGAGGTATTGGTATTGTTGGAAAGTGGTCAAATTCCATGAGGGTGTAAACACCGTGTAGTATGTGCTGCCTCGTCCCACCATGTATAGATATATTATTTTTTGATACATCACAGACTCGATAACAGATATAATTCAATATTATTTGATATTAGCCAGGAAAATAGTTTTTTTTTATTTTTAGATTTCTTTTAAGACTCAATATTTATCACCTAACATTTGAGGCTTATTATCACTTATGACAGATGGAGCATGGACATATCTTGTTTATGTTATAAAACCATTTTACATTTATAATTTAAGAAGATGGTATAATAAGGAGTGCGCATCCAAAAGTGATATCTCAATAGTTTACCGCTATTCAAAAATTATTCAAAATATCTTGGGTTGTTATTCCTGAATGTTTGTTTTTCTTCTGATGGAAAATACGGATACTAAACCGTTTTTCAAAAACAGATGTCACCTTGAATCTGTTGCTTCCATATTTGGCAAAAGATTCATCAAGGACTGAGCCAGTTTCTGTTAGGCAAGAAATAGTGATTACACAGTAAAAAACCGTTTCGAGTGAAATCCGTAGAGTATGTTTTTAGAGTTAAAATACTCTGACAAACTCACTCTAATACAGCAATCAACTCTATTAGGTCCACGCAATAATGAGTCAATTTCGGTCCACGCCCGATTGAGTTGAAATTTTACCCTACTTAACTGTGTAAAATGGTAATTCATGAACCTATTCAATCAAATTTGTTATTAACATTCTCATTGATATGAGAATTTGATGAAATATCTAGTTTGAGTTGAGAATTCACTCAAATATTTCAATCAGTAAATTCACTCACAACCACATATGCATTCACTCAGAGGAATTTTCAACAGTGTAACTCAATTCACAAACAACTGAAATTAAATTCATATTAGTGTTTACTGACACTAGTGACCTTGAATATTTCTCTCTTGTCGATTAAATTGACACTCTATCATTGTTCAATTCAATCTATATACGATTAAATATCAATCTATACAGTTTAAGATTGTTCAGTCTACTATATAGATAGTGTAATAAGTAATACAGATTATAGTGTCGATGGTATAATGATCATGATATTAGCTTCAAGTAGCTTTTTTATACCCGCGTAGTGAGAAATTTTTTTCAACATTGAGTTATGAACGTATTTCCGTACACCCATCTCAGTTATTTAACGTTTTTTTCCGTTTCGAATTATTATTTCGAACGATTTATGAAGCAGATATAGATTAAACTAATTAGTCTAGTGGGACTCGAGTCATTTTTCAAATATCAAACGATTAAAATATTATAGTACTACTTCTCATCCGTCAATTCTCGCCACTGCATAATACTGTGACATGTGAAATAATGGTTAATTTAACTTGGATGTAATCTCAACAGGAAGTAGTGACTAGTTTACTCAACTAGTGTTCTATATCAATCTAAAATGATGAATAAATGATAACTCCTTATTAGCACCTGAACAAATAGTAGTGACATCCACGTAGAGTAAATAATTTGATCAATTTCCGGTGGATCCGACACTGTTTATAGTGTGGAATCTACTCTCTACCATCATATTACAACTCTAAACTTTTGTGACTATGTAATATTCGGTTATTGAATTTCACTCTAAAGTGATGATATTGACACTAGCTTGGGTCTTGAGTGGAATATTCACCCTCGAAAATGTTTCATTCAACTCTATTTTTGTGTTTATTCAATATCATTAGACATATAAAAAGAGTAAGTTTCAATGTGCTTGCATTGAGAATTTACACTGATTGAATTGAAAAAATCACACTATAATATACTAAACTATAGAGTTAAATCATTCACTCTAAAGCTTAGTGGCCCTCCTGGGAACAGGTATAGTGTTGAATTTCACTCTATTTTTTTTACTGCGTACAGATCATTTAAGGGATATAATTCGATAGAATGATATCAGAACACGAAGACAGAAAGATAAGAGAATGATAGAAGATATCACTGACTTGATGATTTAGCGATTCCACATGACAACCAAACTCGATGTGTCTTGTTCTATCAGAAAACTACTACGAGGTGCTCAATTCAGAACATAACCAGTTTCAATTGTCACCCCTATTTGCCTAATGTCCTAAATGTAGAACGGATAGATTTTTGAATCTCTCAATGAACAAAAATTATAAAATCCATATACTCCATTTATTTTGCCCACAGTCAGTTGAAATATGGAGCATTCAAAGTTCTGATTTCCTCAAAATAGTATACAGTGCAACAAGTGGAAAAAGGTCAACTTTTCTCACGAGTGTGAAAGTTTGTGGCACGATCCTGAAGGGCGAGTGATGCAAACACACGAGTACTTTTCCCCACATGTTGCACACTATACTTTTTCTACAACTATGCACTTATCCAAAGAATCCAGAATTTAGGTAATGTAACTTATTAGTATACATTTTATAATGTGGCACTATGCCAAATTGAATATTGTGACCAAAGAGTAGACGCCTTTCCTAGTTCCTCAAAGTATTTCAAAAAAGTACACTTTCCGAAAAAGATTTTATTTCTTCCATAAATTTTTCGTATATGCCAATTCATACTTTTTTCTTTGAAAATCCCGAAACAAATCCAACTTTCACAGCTTTTTCCATTCTCTCTGTCTCTGACGGTGTATTTATCAACACCTTAGTAGAACTTTCAACTCAAACCATGTTTATAATGATCCTTTCATACACAAATGATTGACGACATAATTCGATCGAAAAATCAACTGGAATGTTTGATTTTTTGAAATAAATAACAGTACCTTCTGAAAACGGACCCTGTTATGACGTAGAAACCTCATCTCGCCATGGTTAAAAGAAAATACCAAACGCCCGACGGAGACTGAGGCAACTGATATATTAATTCTATCAACTGTGATCTCGTACTAATTCACTCTGTCAGAAATCATGTATCATTCATCTCTGTCTGGAATAGTCTTGTTTCAGTATTAGGGTTTTGACGTCACATCATCGCCTCGTTTTCAGAGGTCCGAAAAATCGGGGATTTCAATAATTTTTTATAAAACGTAGGGAGCTCTCAGCAAGAAACGGTTTGCGGTGGTGAGCTAGTTTGGGTGAGTTCTATCGAAATATGGAATACATTTTTTTTGTGATATAAGCCCATTAAGTTTTGGTCGATGTTTGTTGATTCTCCATGGAAATGTATGTGGTGTTGGCGAAGTGCCGTGTGAAATAATATTTCTCACAGTATGAGCAATACATGGTTTTGAAACTAAGTAAGCTATGAGAAATACGCTACTTTTCATAGCAGTAGTAGAAAAAGATTTAGGCATATCTGGGTAAAGGTTTCTCCGAGGTTTTTTTTCAATATTTGACAGATTTAAATCGATATTCTGTTTTCTGATAGATATGTGAGCAATGATCTCCTTATAAAGAAAAAACTAGGTGGATACCTAACGGCAAACTGACGGGATCACCCTGTAGGCATTCTTCACCCAAACAACACTTGAACGTTTTCTTTTCCCCTGGTAACTCCATGGAAAGTACTGCTACATCCTCGTTCCTCTCTTTGGCCCTTCTTATTCTATCCTCCCCCACTGTTTTCGTCTTGAGGTTCATCCCTTTGAACTGTTCACTGAGGACACCGGCCATTTTGGGAAAAAATGTCTACCGCTTTTTCATACACATCAATACACTGGTGTTGTTCTCGAAGGAATTCTCACTAGAGTAATGGAGTTAGCGGGAAATTTTAGTGGAAATTCACATATACATTTTCCAACCAATGAATTCCTGATAGGAACTCAACTAACTAAATATATTACTACACTACACTGTTTTAACACTAATCAAACCGATTTTTTGAACGCCTGGACACGTGTTTCGCTACCTGTCAGCATCTTCAGGAGAAGATTAAAAAATCGGTTTGATTAGTGGTGGTATTATCGTGCCAAAGGTTCCAGTCTCCCATATAAATAAATTACTGACATTGTTTCTAAAGGATATTATCTAGCAATAAAAACCTTCTGAATTTGTTGTACAGGGTGGCCAGATAAGAATGCAAAGTGCTGTATTTCGGAAGCTATTCGTCTTAGAGACTTGCGGTGAAAAATAGGACGACTAAAGTGGCCAAAAGAAAATCCTGGAAATTGTGTTCAGGTTTCCAAGATGGCCGCCAGGGGGCGTAATTGTCATCTGAATATTTTAAAGTGATTTTTCATTGAAATCCACCTAGTAAATGTTTCAAAAAAATATAATTATTCTTTTGAGAGATGAGCTTCATTAGAGTAATTTTTATTCAACACTTTTTGACGTATCTATTAAAATGAAGTGGTGGGGGGTATTTCAATGTTTTTTTAAATAAACAGCTGTAACTCCTAAACGACTGAACGGATTTCAACAAACTTGGTCTCGTTGGAATAAGCATCAATTGCTTCATCAAACCCATCTTACCTGTGATATATCTAAAAATTAGACATATCACAGGTAAGATGGGTTTGATGAAGCAATTAATGCTTGTTCCAACGAGACCAAGTTTGTTGAAATCCGTTCAGTCGTTTAGGAGTTACAGCTGTTTATTTAAAAAAACATTGAAATACCACCCACTACTTCATTTTAATAGATACGTCAAAAAGTGTAGAACAAAAATTACTCTAATGAAGCTCAGCTTTCAAAAGCATATATTTTTTTAAAACATTTACTAGGTGGATTTCAATGAAAAATCACTTTCAATGTTTCAGATGACGGTTACGCCCCCTGGAGGCCATCTTGGAAACCTGAAAATAATTTCTAGTATTTTTTTCGCCACTTTAGTCATAGTATTTTTTACCGCAAGTCTCTAAGACGAATATCTTCCGAAATACAGCACTTTGCATTCTTATCTGGCCACCCTGTACAGTTTTTTAAAATTATTACAAACTAATTTTCAACTGAACAAATACTACAAAGCAAATTGGGGCATCATTTTCTAACTTCTCCATTCTCAGTTGAACGGCCTGTATTGAGAAGTCATATTAATAATAATTACTTTTATAAAAGAACTCCCTTTACACGGTAGACTGATCCTATCTTGTATTTTATGTGTTGCCATTTGTTTAGATCTTTTTTTAACGATACTTGAATCCTCTTTTCATAACGAGTTCGTTGATCCGTATAATCAAAATTGAATAACAGCCTGAATTGTTCGATGTGGATGTTTCACTTCGAATGATATTGAATAGGTCGCGTGCACGATGACGGACCCTAGAGGTAAAATATTGAAACACAAGCTCACTTTTTTATTTTTTTACAGAATCAAAGGATTGAAATAGTTTTTCACAATATTTTGGCATACAAATCGTGTTTCTTGCGCTATTCATTGATTCAAGCATGCCTTCTCATTGTGCTGTTGTACAATACATAAAATATGCAGCGAGAGACGAAGGAATATGATTTTTCGGGTAAATAGTAATCTCACATATTTTCCATTATGAAATTTTGTAATTTTTTATTGAGATTCCTTCTGCCACTTCTGCAATAGAAGCTAATACTGCTAATATATTGAAAATGTCTACAACACTCACGATCATATTTCGTCAGCATGTCAGACCAGTCCTCCTGTTTAGTAGATATATATTAGGAAAGCTGGACCAGGCATCACGGCATCAGACAGCCAATCAGAGCACTCCATTTAATTCCCCCTAATTAATCAATCACCACATGAAGGAAAGCATGATCTAATTCATTAACCATTAAGTACTTGAGAACACGTGCGCTGAGATAGATACTTCCATTAGAAATTTCATTTCATCACTATAGCAATACCAAAAAAAACCCATTCGTTCTTCATGGAACAACGCAATATCAAAACTCGGTGAAACTCATTCCAGAGGAAGCCAATAAAAACTTATAATCCCCAAGAAGTGATCAAATTTCAATACCTTTTCCTTAGGCATGATGTTTTTTTCGAACAATATAGGGACTCCCTTTCGAGCACCCCAAGAAATAAATCTTCAATTGCATAGCTACTTGAAAAAATGTGAGCACGAGTCGTCAATCCGATTCATATTTCACTCTAATCACTTTTCTATAGATACTTCCACGAGAAATTCAATTCATCACTAGCAATATAGGACTGACAGCATATTCTTTCGTTATCCATCAAACAACACTATACCAAATAACTTGCTCGTCTATAGGCAAAGCTTATTCAGAGTTGAAAAATTCCAAATACTTTCTTCGCATGTTTTTCGAACATTATAGGGATTCCTTCTGTACGCCCCAAGAATAAAATCTTCAATTGCATAAGGAGTACTGATGCGGGTAAGTCTATCGATTGATATTGATGTTATCCATTCATAAAATTTCTTATGAGAAAGCAGAAATATTTATTTTCACAACAAAGCCACGGGGAATTGATTTCATGAGACAAGTCATCAGAGTGTTCATTGGAGTAATTATTTTCGACAGATGGTCCAAGAGGGTGAATAATTCCAATTTAGAATCTTAATTTGCAAATTATTTAGTATGCCAAACGATGGTGGTTCTCATTACGAGGATATAGCGTGACCTGAAAATAATCTGTTGTCATGGCTAGTTGGGTTTTGGAAGACAGACGGTTTCTTTCAATAGATCTAAATGTGTAATAATTTATTCACTTTATTATAGCGAATGGGGGAATTGAGCGAATTATTTGCCCACATGTATGAGGGGGGTCGATTGATGATATAAATTGAACGCAATATGGATACCGGCTATTTAATAGGTTAAATTGATCCCAATGATTTTCTTACCATTGGGGGAATAATCCTGATTATCCCTGAACAAATGAATAGCAGACAATGATGTGTATTCTGATTCTATTTTATGTTTCGAAATTCACAGGTCAACACTTCGGATTCATTCTGACACTTGCACGAAATAACTTCCCAGTTGTACATTTCTTTGATGTGAAATAAAAGTATGTTGTAGGGATGTTTTCCCTTACTCCAAAAAAATTAAGAAGAGAATTTGGAATATTCGACTGAGTGATATATCAGATTATTTCATTACTATATTTCAATTGAAGGAATTGATCATTTTGGAAGAAAGAATATTTCTGTATTTGAAACTTGCACAGAATAGCTTATCTAGTGAAAAATGAAGAAAATTTGGGAGGCAATAATGTCTGATTAAAAAAAGAGAGAAAGATAAGTTACTCACACTCCTATTAGTTTGTGTCCTGTATCACTTCCCTATACACTTGAAATAATCCACCGAAACACCACACACCACACCACTACCGATCGAGTTGACTAACTCACATTTCTATCAGTTAGCGTCCCATAAATCCGGTGTCACTTCCCTATACACATGGAATAATCCACCGAAACACCACACACCACACCACTACCGATCGAGTTGACTAACTCACATTTCTATCAGTTAGCGTCCCATAAATCCGGTGTCACTCCCGATACACTTGGAATAATCCACCGAAACACCACACACCACACACTACCGATCGAGTTGACTAACTCACATTTCTATCAGTTAGCGTCTTGTAAATCCGGTGTCACTCCCGATACACTTGGAATAATCCACTGAAACACCACACACTCCCACTAATGATCGAGTTGACTAACTTACATTTCTATCAATTCGTACCTGTATCACTCCCGATAAACTTAAGAAAACCGAGAATAATTGTACACATATTTAACCACAGACGACCGAAAAAGATTACTGAAATACTTATGCGTGATATCTGGTCTAACGCACCGACCAAACGAGGGTGAATATTTAATTTTCTCTGTAAAACCATGAACAAAATAATGGTTTTCTCTTTTTGTTGGAGCATTTCTATAACAGAGGGCATGAGTTGTACAATTTTGCACGAAAAGGAGGCCCCTATTATCCCATATCGATTTTTCCAGTAGGGCAGGACCGTATTCATAATATTTACACCAAACAGAAAATCATATCTACTGTATGTTGGAGAATGGAGGGTCATGAAGATTAAGAAAGTATGTGAATACATGTTTATTGGAATGTACTGTGCTTACTTTCAATATTAATGTCATAGTCGATTCAGAAAATTAAATCATCTCCAATTAAGAAGAAAACATGTGGTATGTATGAGTCATCAGACTAATTCAATCATGTTCGATCAAGAAAAAGCAGGCGCACTATATGAGTCATCAGACTAATTCAATCATGTTCGATCAAGAAAACACATGTTTACAATGAGTCACCAATGTAATTAAATCATCTACAATTAAAGAAAACAGGTGTACCTTATGAGTCATAGACTAATTCAATTATCTCTAATTAAGGAGTATTTGGGAATATCGTCCGATTCATATTAATTAATGTAATGATTCGTTAATCATACCCCCACTTCACAAATTCAAAGGTATATAACTTATCACAATGAGATCCTTCACTCAGTTTTCGAATTCTAGTTGTAAAACACATATTATTCTGAAATGGACTTGTCGAAATCAACTGTGAATTCGAGTGGGCAGAGCTACTATACATCAAGTGTTCCTACCGGTGACTCGGGAGTTAGATATAATCTGAAAGAACATCATGAGAATAAACATAAATCAATATTGTTGGGAGAGAAGAGATTGCCTTTGAATAAATCAAGAAGCAAGTACGTTTCCATAGGATTATCCTATGAATTTGGCTTCAGG